GATTAAATTAATACAATTTTGTGGATTTTAATATTTTCCATAAGTTTATTAATAAAATTATGGAAAATATTAAAATCCATAAAATTATATTAATTAAATCTACCTTTATGCTCAAAGTAAACTGGTTCTACGCATAAAATTACATTATATTAGCATATGTTTACCTTATAGTTTTAAATTTAAAGAGAAAATATGCTTAATTTTGAAATTTTGATTAAAAATTCAAAATTAAGCATCTTTTCTCTTAAAATTTTAATTATAAGGTAAACGTATGCTGATATGATTTATTTTTATGCATAGAATCAGTTTGCTTAGAGCATAAAGATAGATTTAATTAATACAGTCGGGCATATTACCAAAATTGGAAATCAGATCTAGAATACTCTATTAAAAATCCCTAAAATTTGATTGGCTCATATCGGCTCATATCGGTTATCTTCAGATGCGAATTGAGACTTGGTGTAATATTCATTTGCAGTTTTTAACTATACGAACTAATAGTAAAAAGACTCTAGTTTTAAGATCATCTGTGATCATTTCGAGATTAACGTTTTTTGAAAAAATAGATCAGCACTAAAATTTAAAAAAATTGTGCTTTTAACTTAATAATTAAGCTTTTTTTTTTTTAATTATGTCGCATCTATCGCCAGCTCAACAAAAGCCAAAGCCCGAAGCTCTTCCTTGCATATTCTCTAAAATAGTTATTAAGTACAATAAGGAAATCAGATTAAGTCTCTGCGAAACGAAGAAAAAGAAAACTTGGCAAAATGCTAGTGCTCCAGAAGCAATTAGACGACTTGAACTATTTACTGATTTCATACCGGAACTAACTGATTTACTTTTAGAATCTTATCATTATTCTATTTGCCAACAGCATTATAATGAAGTTGTATCTAAAGATCAATTTTATCAACGGCTTTGTCATGAAAATAAAAGACCTCGGATTGGTACTGATTCTACCTCTTCAGAGATAATCGACAGTGGTTCAATGGTCAAGTTTGGAAAAATGAAAGAATTAGGCGGAGGTGAAACGGCAAATCAAGAAAAAGATGAGTATATAATGCTTCTTACTAACACAATTTCAGAGTTACAGCAGAAAATAGAAGAACAAAAACGGAAAATATTAGAATTAAAGAATCAGATAAGTGGATATTGTGAAGAAATAATCAGAATAAATAATTTATACCAAGAAAAACGTGAAGAAAATAAGGATCTCGTTGAACAATGGAATTCTTGGCATTGCAATCAAGAAAAGCGTATACAGGAAGCTGTTAATATTGCGCTACTTGAGCGAGAATCTTTATTTGAGGATATTGACTTTTTAATTAAGAACAAGAATAGGTTTTCTTTAGAAAACCTATTAAATTATACGCCACAAACTTGGCTAAGC